TGTGTTTCGTGAGTCTGAGGAGGACTTTGTAGATTGGTGTCAGACAGACATGTGGGTGAATGTCACCCTTATGGGCTTGGACTGGAGTAGGTTGGGATGTTTAATGTACAATTATCCTTTACATAAACTCTCTCTTATACACATATGAGTTTCTGTGGAATTGTTTCTCTAGTCTACCCAGACTAGCACAACGTTCAAACAAAAACATTAGTCAAAAGGATCTGCTTCTGTGGTGATTTATGACTTCAGAATCTCCTGGGACAGAATGACTCTGACCTATAGAATCAATGTCAGTAACAATCAACTAAAGAGTAGATTTCAGAATTTATTACTTATTCCACCCCCACTCCCACCCCCACCGCCCTTCAACTGCACTTTCCCTCTATTGTAAATCTTTGCTTATAGACAGGAGGAGGCTCCCTGTGGCCTCTCCCTTCACTGGGCCTCTCCTTGTGGGGTCCTCTCAGCTCTCAGGCTGAGGCCTAGCTGAGCAGATCCACAGTGACTGCTCATGTTAGGCCCCTTCATAGGCAGGTCTGGTGTGACTCATGTCTTCTGTTGGCAGTGACTTCCTGCACTTAACTGCACACCTAGCTGTGCTGGTGCAGGGTTGGGTGGTAGCTTTGCCAGGCTGAGTGAGACAACCTCCCCACTTCATGGGGAAGAAGTCCTGGGGAAGCATTCCCAGGAATGACCTCCCTGCCTCACTTTCACTAATGGACCCAGGGAGACCAGGAGGACCACTGCTATCCTCATGGGTGTAACAGAGATAGGAGGTTGGTGGAGTCATGGGAGAGGCTGAGAAGTTGAAAGTTGAGGGCTTAATCGGCTGTCTTAAAGATCCTTGTGTTGAAGTGAATAACATGCACTCATGCACGTACACACACACACCCTAGATTGATCAACAAGCTTATTTGGGGAGAGGCTGGAGCTGGAGCTTCAGAGTCTGGACTGTGACTTTCAGGGCCCCATGAGATCACAAGAATGAGCTCCAGTGAGCACCAGACAGAAGGCACCAGAACCGAAGCAGGTGCCTGGTTTCCAGCTGAGACAGCAGCACAGACCCTCATAGACAGACCACAGTGCCCTCTGCTGCCCAAGGCCTACAGAGGAAGGCTAGACATACAAGGCCACTGAGAAAGGAAAAGCGTCCCTTCTACATACAACCTTTAGTTCCCTGACCCACACAAGCTTCTGATTGGAGACACAGTCCATACGAAGATCTTTATGTGGGGAGCACACTACATTCAGAAGTAAGACAAACAGTCCTTTCAGGGTGTTGTCGTAGATCTGGGGCCTCTGTTGCCCATTCAATGGACTGACTTTTATACCATCCTACCTACCAGTGGATTTGGGTAGTCTGGAAAGGAAATCTTGACAAGAGCAAACCGCCTCATTTTCCTCTCACACATCTCTGAGGAGCATTGCACCACTGAGAATGACTTGAACATCCAAAATCCTCCCCTACTGCCATCAAATCCATGCCAACTCATCAGCAACCCCATAGAATGGGGAGAACTGCTTTGTAGGGTTTCCAAGCATTTACATCTTTACAGAGACATCTCATGTTTCTCCCTGGAGCAGCTGGTGGGTGGGCACCTCAAACCCAGTGGTGAGCAGCCTAACACCTAACCCACTGCGCCACCAGCACTTCTGATAAGCGCCTAGGACCTTCACAGGTAACAATGAGTCATCTCTGCTATGAAATGCCAAGCAGAGGAGAGGAAGCATGTGCAGGCATCTCAGAAGAATTAAGAGGGAAAAAAAGCTTTGTTGACTAAGGGGATGTAAGGTGTGTTCTCATTTAGACATTCTAGAAAATGGAAATAAGGCAATCCTCACAGGACACAGGTAAGTGGTTGCCAAGGGAGGGCATTGTGTGTGGTGCCATTCCCTGAGTACGAGAGAGCCACCTTGTACCTTGAAGACGACAGAGTGGCAGAGAGAGTGATGACAAGTGGTCACAAAGAGAAGAAGCTGCTGGGCCGGGGCACAGGTTGAGGGTCTTGGATGTGCTGACGTCCTGAAGGGTGTCGGAAGCCATCAGAGGAGCCGCGGGGGCAGAGTGAGCTGTGCATTGAGCTGGAACCAGGAGGTCAGTGGTTGGAGCGCATCGCCGTCCCACAGGATGCAGGGACTCTGCTCCCATCAAGGTTCAAAAGTCTCAGGAATCCGAGTTCTACTCTCTCCTGTGGCTTTGTTGTGAGTTGGAATGGACTCAATGGCATTGGGTGTTTTGTTTTTGAAAAATATGTCAAAACACCCACATGGAAGAAGCACACACACCAACCTGTGTGATTATGAGGTGTCGATGGGACCAGGTATCAGGCATCAAAGACCCAAAACAAAACAAAAAAATCATATCCATGTGAATGAGGGGGAGTATGGAGTGGAGACCCAAAGCCCATCAGTAGTCAATTGGACATCCCTTGTCAGAAGGGTCACAAGGAAGAGACGAGCCAGTCAGGGTGCAGTATAGCACCGGCGAAACACACACAACTTTCCTCTAGTTCTTTAATGCTCCCCATACCCCACCACCATGATCATGGCCCCAATTCTAACTTACAAATCTGGCTAGACCAGAACATGTACACGGGTACAGATAAGAGCTGGAAACACAGGGAATCCAAGACAGATAAACCCCTCAGAACCAATAA